CAAAATCAACAGCCAACATTATTCTCAATGGAGAGAGACTGAAACCATTCCTCTTGAGAATAGGAACCAGACAAAGATGCCCTCTATCACCACTTCTACTCAACATTGTACTAGAAGTCCTAGTCAAGGCCATAAGGCAAGAAAGGGAAATCAAAGTCATCCAAATTGGTAAGAGAAACGCAGGCTGAGCTGTGGAGTTTTGCCTGTCCAGAAAGCGCTGCCATTTTGAATGTGCACAGGTGGCTTGACCATTTTGGATATTTAAAGAGACAGCGCTTTTGCAGATTCCAGGGGCTTAAGAACAGGTTCTGCTTGCCAGCAACCCCAAGGACACTCTGGATCTAGACCCCCAAGACTGAAAGGGTGAGACATTCCTCTTGTTACTCTTATACCCCCCACCCGCTTGGTGAACAGAGGTGCAGCCATACTCCACTCCCAACTACCTGCTGGGCCCACAGGAACTCCATCACAGTCTGTGTGCTCGGACAGAGCCTGGGGGCCCTGTCGAAGCCTGGAAGCTCCACTGAAACCTCTCCACCATGGGTAACCCTGCTGGCATTTTGCAACTCCTGTTGTATAGCCTCCAGCCTCACAGCAACACGTAAGCCACCATAGGACGACAAACTGACAAGTTTGTCTCCCTTAGTTGCTCCTAACCCTTCTGCACCTGCTGACCTGAGACCCCAGCCTTAATATAGAGTGACATCCAAGCAAAAAGCAGCCTCCAAGCCCCTGGCCTGTGTACCTTTGGCCCTGGCATTAATATAGAGCCACACTCAAGTAAAAAGCAGTTTCCAAGCCCCAAGCGTGCCTACCTCAGGCCCCTCCCTTAATATAGAGCTACATCCAAGTGAAAAGCAGCCTCCAAGGCCCCAGCCTGCCTACCTCAGGCCCTGGCCTTAATATAGAGCCACACTCAAGTGAAAAGCAGTCTCCAAGCCCCAGGTCTGCCTACCTCAGGTCTCTGCCTTAATATAGAGCCACATTCAAGCAAAACGCAGCCTCCAAGCCCACCAAATTTTGCTGAAGGTAATTAAAAAATAGTTGCAACAATATATTGACAGGGAACTTCCAGAAATGCAAGGTGGATTCAGAAGCAGATGTGGAATGAGGAATATCATTGCTGATGTAAGATGGATCTTGGCTGAAAGGAAAGAATACCAGAAACATGTCTGCTTGTGTAGTATTGACTATGCAAAAGCATTCAACAGTGTGGATCATAATAAATTATGGATAACATTACAAAGAATTGGAATTCCAGAACACCAAATTGTGCTCATGAGGAGTACATAAACAAGGAGGCTGTTGTTCAAACAGAACAAGGGGATAGATAGTGCATGGTTTAAAATCAGGAAGAGAGTGTATCAGGGTTGTATCGTTTATCATACTTGTTCAATCTGTACACTGAGCAAATAATCCGAGAAGTTGGACTATATGAAGAAGAATGTGGCATCAGGATTGGAGGAAGACTCATTAACAACCTGGGATATGCAGATGACACAACCTTGCTTGCTGAAAGTGAAGATGACTTGAAGCATTTACTGATGAAAGGTAACATAAAAAAATGAAAATCCTTACAAGTGGACCAAAAAAACAGCATCATGATAAATGGAGAAAAGATGAAGTTGGCAAAGATTTCATATTACTTGTTTCCAACATCAACACTGATGGAAGCAGCACTCAAGAAATCAGACAACATATTGCACTAGGCAAATGTGCTGCAGAAAACCTCTTTGAAGTACTGAAGAGCAAAGACATCTCTTTGAAGACTGAGGTGAACCTAACCCAAGCCATGGTATTTTCAATAGCCTCATATGCATGTGAAAGCTGGACAATGAACAAGAAAGACCAAAGGAGTGTTGATTCTTTTAAGTGGTGGTGTTGGCAAAGAATACTGAAAGTACCATGGATTGCCAGGAGAATGAACAAATCTGTTCTGGAAGAACTCTTCCAGAAAGCTTCTTGGAAGTAAGAATGGCCAGACTTTGTCTCACGTACTTTGGTCAAGTTGTCAGAAAGGACCCTTCCCTGGAGAAGGATATATGCTTGGTAAAGTGGAGGGTCAGCAAAAAAGGGGAAGATCCTCAATGAGATGGATTGACTACAATACATTGTCTACAACGACGGGCTCAGATATACCAAGGATTGTGAGGCTGGCACAGGACCAGGCAATATTTTGTTCTGTTATACATAGGGTCACTATGAGTCAGAGCCAACTCGACAGCCCCTAACAACAAGAACAAAAGTATGGTAAGAAATATTAGGTAAAAATAGTCTTCAGGATTTGATTTGAAACATGATAACAGTCAATTTAGGTTGATTTCCTATTTTTATTTGGAGTTCCTTGAGAAAGTTCATTAGGTGTGGTAGTTTAGTGGGAAGAAAAATCATAGGCTATTCCACTTACTCATTTGCAACTCAGGACACTCACTCATCTCTGAGCCTAAACTCTTCTTCTATGATGAAGATGAACTGTATCCTCTCTCAAGCCTACATACACTGTAGTTAGGAGCCCTCATGAGATAAAATATCTAGAAGGATTTTGTAAAGTATTAAGTATAAATTGGGGTGCACAGGCTCAGGGCTGCTTGGCTTGGCACTGCCATCGAGTCATAGTGACCCCTCCTTCGGTTTCCAAGGCGGAAACTAGGGAAGTAGATTGCCCAGCCTTCCTTCTGAGGAGTGGCTAGTGGGTGTGAACCAGCTTTCTGGTAGTCAAATGCCTTAGGCACTATGCCACCAGAGCGCTTATCAATAGAGAACTCCTGGGGACCAACTGGAAGGCAGGTTGAGACCTGAGGAAGGTTGTACCACTCATACCTCGGATTTCCGGACCTTTGGGAGCCTCTCTGGGTTGGAGCGGACAGTAGCCTCTGCAAGGGCTTCGGCGCGAAGAGGGATGTACTTCTGCTGGGGCAGAGGCTCCAGGGTTCCGCTGCGCCAGGAGGCTGCTGGCGGTGCGAGGCTCCGGCAGGCGGACTCCGGCGAGCGCCACTCGCTACTGCTGCTGAGCGATGGTGCTGTCCACTCCTGCGGGGACAACGACAGAGGCCAGCTGGGCCAGAAGGGCGTGTCCCACCGGAGGAGACCAGGTGAGCGCTAGGGCCCAGGTACGGCTAGCTGGAGCGCGAAGCACCGGCTGGAGTGTCGGCGGGCAGTTTTGGGAACCTATGCTCTATTGAGAGAGTTGATGTGTGCTGGTCATGGATTTCCAGGCACAGTGATTCCATATGACAGAGTAGAACAGCTCAATAGGGTTTCTTAGGCTGTAACCTTTACGAGAGCAGAACGCCAGGGAGAGACGCTGGGGGGGTCCAACAGCTGACCTCTTTGGCTGCCAGAGGAGAGGGAAAACGGCGCTCGGCTCTTCCCTAGTGCAACTTAAGTTTCGTTTTCCAGACCCGCCTCGGGTTGGTTTCATTTTCCAACTCTTCTTGAAAGCGAAAGGGAAAGTTTAAACTAACCTGGACCGCGCTCCTTTGGACAGAGATGTGGTCCATCAGACTTTCTTGGGACCCCTCTCCTCACCTGTGTGGAGATCCATCTGGAGGAGTTAGCCTGATCTTCTAAACGTACTTTGTGGGTTGGACCCTGCAACTCCCTCAGAAATACTTAGGGCCATCACTTTTCTTAAAATTTTAAAAAGCATAGTATAGCGTTCTTATCACGGGGAAAGAAATTACTTATAATTCCGACACTAAAACACAACTCCCAATATTTAGATACATTTTTTCCGTGTATATGGTTAATCTTATAAAAAAAATCATGATCGGTTTTGTAGATAAAGTGTTTATACAACTCTATAGATGGTTTTTTTTTTCACCACACAGAATAATATCATGAACGTAAAAGCCAAAAAAAAAAAAAAAAAAAAATCACCTGTTGCCGCCAAGGTGATTCCTCTCATAGGGCTCTCATAGGGTTTCCCAGATGGCACAATGGAGAAATACTCAGTTGCTAACCGACAGGTTGGCAGTTCAAACCTACCCAGCCGCACCGCGGAAGGAGGGGTCTTGATCTGCTAGCCTAGGAAGCTCTAGGGGGCAGTTCTACGCTGTCACGAGGTGTTGCTATAAGGACGAATCTACTGACAGCATACAGTGACAGCAACAATCATTATGGAAGTAGACTGCCTATCTTTCTCCCACAGAGCAGCTGATGGGTGCCAACGGCAGCCCTTTCCACTAACAGCCCAGGGCTTTGATCACTGCACCACCAGGGCTCTTTAGGGACCCACTTAGGGGCCCAGCAACTGCCTAGCACACTGAGGGAAGCAGGCTCCCTACTCATTTCCTCATGAGGCTCAGAAAAGTAGAGTGAAAGGGATCCTGTCTGCTTTCAAGCTTTTTTATTTTGCTAGGTTTTGCTACCAGTATCATAAAAAATTGGGAGCCCTGGTCACCTAATGGTTATGCGCTGGGCTGCTAACTGAAGGTCAGCCAAGCATTTCTGGGAGAAAAGGCTTGGCAATCTGCTCCCATAAAAATTACAGCCTAAAAAACCCAATGGAGCACTTCTACTCTATCATTCACTATGAGTTGGAATCCACTCAATGGCACACAACACCACCACCATAAAGAAATAACTGGTTTGTTCAAGTGTCATACTCTCTAGAGGTTCCCTCCCTCCCCAGGGCCCAGCCTTTTAAATAGTAGGTATATTCCAGTAAAGACTGTTCTCCATTGAACTTATTCCCTTCAAATTTTTAGTGTGGACTTTATTTAAAAGCTCATTGGAGGAGACAAGGAATCTGTTGACCCTTTTTTGTGAAGGAAAAAATAAAAACTAAAACCATTGCTGTTGAGACAGTGACCCCATGTATTACAGAGTAGAACTGCTTCATGGGGTTTTCTTGACTGTAATCTTAACAAAATCAGATGCTGGTCCTTTCTTCTGAGGTTTCACTGGGTGGATTTGAACTGTCAATCTTTAGGTTAGTAGGGTAGTGCAAGATACTGCACCACCCAGGGATTTTGAAGGATAACACTACCTTAAACTTAATAATCTTATGTGTGTGTGTGTGTGTGGGGGGGTATTTTTCTTCTCCAAGAACCTATTAGGGCATTGAAAACCCTGAATGTTGATCTCCTGAGCTGTGGAAAGGAGCACTCCCTGGTAGTTTGTCACAAAGGAAGAGTGTTTGCATGGGGAGCTGGTTCTGAAGGGCAACTGGGGATTGGAGAATTTAAGGAACAAAGTGTCATACCTAAGTAAGTACTTCAATTTATTCATTATTTTTGAGTACCATGTGCCAGGCACCATGCCAGATGCTAGGATACAAAGATGGCTATGACAAACACAGTCCCTGACTAGAGTGATTACCATACAGCAAGGAAAGGAGGAAAGAAAAAAACCATTAACACCCATTATTATTTATCAGAATCCTGTGGAAGAAAAGAACAAGGTGAAATGAGAACATGTGACCCTTTGGTCTTAATTTTATTTATTGGATACAACCTCGTAGCATGTCACAAGCCACTGAGCTCTAATAATTAATAAAATGGGGAAAAATCACATATCTTCACAAACTGGACAAGTACTATGATGAGCAGTTAGATCTGAACTATGTATTCATGAATTACATGCTTAAGGAATTTTTAAAACTATGTTTTTTAAAACTAGGAAGTTGCTTCTTGTTACCTCCTCTGTTCATTACATCTTAAGAGAGCTCAGGGTGGCTTGGGGGAAGAAGCATTGAACTAGGAATGAAAAGACTAGGGTTTGAGCCTACTTTTGCAAACTTCATAGCTATTTGACCTCTCTGAGTTCTCTTAGGCTGAACCATATGAAATTGCTGATAATTGTCTGTTTTTGATGCAATAAATGACAATTTCAAATGATTCAACCTCATGGTTTCTTTATCTCACATGGCTTAAATTAGATCATACAGGTAACAATATTCTATAAATTTCATGCTCTGAAGAAAATTACTTTTGTTTTAGGCTATTAAGTATAGAATAAAAATTAACACATCATATAATGCATTAAAATTCCATTTTTACATTACACGTTATTTTGGAATCACTCTTGTACCTTGTTTTCAATTCAGTCCTGTAGATCTCCTGTTAAATAAAAGTTTGAAGGCTTTGGAGTAGAGGTATTACCAAAATACTGGAAAATCAAATGGTTTCCCTAGGCTACACCTATTACCTGGAATAGTTTTTTTTTTTTTTCTTTTTTGCTCCATAGAGTTGTCTTGACTACACTTTTTTAAAAATTTTTTTTTAATTGTGATTTGGGTGAAAATTTACAGAGCAAATTCACTTTCC